CCTCATGCATGGCCGATTACCTATTGTGAATGCGTGCTGTGGCGGTGCTGTGTTCTTAATTTATAGATGGCAGTTATAAGTTACCGTTTGATGAAGTCAGCAATTTTACATCTCCTGGGTCTGAAAGGCGCTTTGGAGCAGTTTTGTGTACAAACAGATTTTCTGTGATTTATTGTCTGTGTTGCCAGGAGAATGAGAAAAATGATGACGAGTGTTGCATCTGTAAAAACGAAGAAGAAGACCAAGAGCTGGTAGTGTGCGAGGAATGCCCACGATCCTTCCACCAGAAATGCCACCTGCCACATGTGGACGACATCATTCTGAAGTGAGCCTTACTGGGAGAGCAGCCATTTAAAAAATATTTTTTAAATCAGCTGTTTCTCTTTTGTCCTTTTGTATGTTTTGTTTGAGTCTCTTATATTTTAAACCTGCATGAATTTGTCGTATCAACACAGAATGCATTGGCAGGAAAGAAACCTAATCAGCTTTAACAGGGTGAAAGAAATGCTCCCATTATACAGTCCTGCAACTGAACTGAACTCAGCATTTTAAAGCAGCACTAATGAATATCCCTACAGCTCTGTGCAAAAGTCTCGAGCCACTTCTCATTTCTGTATGAGTTGCTTTCAATGAACCAGACTTTCTTGTAATATTTTAAATTGGCCTGGAGCAACAGTTTTCCAGGTTTACTGAAGAATCCACACTAAACAAAGGGAAAATGGGGGAAAAGGCTGAGGTATGCCAGTTTACACAAGAACTGGATTGAAATTTAGTGGCAAAAGGTCTTATATAATAATGTCATTGATATTTTTGGTCCAAATCGTTGTCTTATTTATGGAGGAGGATGAGAGGGTCCAACACTGAACATCTACAGCTAAATGTAAAACATGGGGGAGGCTCTGGGGATGCAGTTCATCCAGTGGTGCTGGGAATCTTGTGAAAATGAGGAATTATAAACACAAAAAAGTACGGTCAGATGGAATCTGGAAAGCATCTCATCAGGAGCAGCATCATTTTTCAGCATGACAGTGATCACAAACACACTGCCAATGCAGTAAAAGCATACCTGAATAAAAAACATAAAACAAAACCACCACACAGTCTTGGCCTCCCCAGAGCTCGGACTTCAACATTAGTGAAGCAGTGTGTGATCAGCTTGACAGAAAACCGAATTAAAGACAGTCAAAAATTATTCTCCAAATCTCTGCATCTATTTCCCTTTATCCATCCATCCATCCATTCGCTTCCGCTTATCCTTTTCAGGGTCGCAGAGGGTGCTGGAGCCTATCCCAGCTGTCATAGGGCGAGAGGCAGGGTACACCCTGGACAGTTCGCCAGTCTGTCGCAGGGCCAACACACAGGGACAGACAACCATTCTCACTCACATTCACACCTAGTGGCAATTTGGATTATCCAATTAACCTATCCCCACAAGCTGCATGTCTTTGGATGGTGGGAGGAAGCCGGAGAACCCGGAGCGATCCCACGCAAACACGGGGAGAACATGCAAACTCCACACAGAAAGACTCCGGCCTGATGGTGGAATTGAACTCAGGACCTTCTTGCTGTGCGGCAACAGTGCTAACCACCGTGCCCTATTTCCCTTTATTTCCCAGAAAAATAATTTTTTTAAATGAGGGGTGGCTGAAGACTTTTGCACAGTGCTGTCTGTGAACTTCTTAACAATTAAGCAAGTGTAAAATAGCACACTTGCTTAATTGTTTTTCCGTCGTTTAAGTAGAAGTACTTTTTCCCAAACAAACTGACAGTCTTATAATGAAAAGACAAAGTTAGGTGCCAGCTGGCAAAGAGAGTGAAGGAGCTAAGGATATTTCCTTCTGGACCTGGTAGATAACAAAACAGGACATTTGCAAATTGACCTGTACCATGAGTCCAAATAAGTGGAGTGTTACTCCAGATCTTCTAGTTCTGTAAACTAAATTCTTGCTCAGCGTTAAATTTTAACATCATTTCATTTGATTTTTGTTTTAATGTTTTTCACCTTCACATTAAAACTGGTACTAGCTGAAGTCAGGTGGACAGTTTCTACTAAAACAACATTTGTGCTGCTATTATCCATGTATATTGTATTGAATTACACACTACTGTATATGATCCTGGCATACGTTCTGCTTTTTTAAAATGTACCTGTTTTATGTGATAACATGAAGCTAAGACATTCAGCTGATAAAAATAAAAAGGATATAGCTGATTGAAACAACAATCAAAAGGGTTTATATTTTTAAGACTGATATATATCTGTGTGTGTATGTGTGTGCAGCGACGACAGCCCCTGGTTGTGCACATTCTGCGTTTTTAGAGCCAATCACGTTTGCCTTGACCAGCTGGACGTGAACGCAGTGATGTCTCAGCAAATATCTCAACACATGATGGTGAGAATTTTCTCTGTCTACAACTTTGTCCATGTAACCATCTAACTACCCGTCTCCCTGTGACATTGCTGTGACCTGCCCCTCTGTTGTTTCATCAACAGCAATGCCAGTATCTCCTCCTGAGTCTGCGCAGTGCTGACGAGGAGCAAATGTTTTCTCCAGACCCAATGGGCTATGTAAGTATTTTTTAAGCAAGCAATTTTTATTCATTAGAATCAAGTTTTAAAACATTCATAGAAAATAAAGTGCAGTGCACTGAAAACGTGAGCTATCTTAGCCTTTGCATATTGGTCACACTTCAGATCATCAGTTAGAGTTTCATATTAGACAACAATAAGCTCAGTAAACGCAAAATGCAGATTTTAAATGATGATTTCATTTATTAAGGCAAACAAGCAATCCAAACCGGTTAAATCAGTAACTAGCCAGTTCAGCTTCACTGGCAGCACCAAGGACTAATTGCTGGTAGACCTGTTGAATCAAGAAATCACTTACATAGAACCTGTCTGAAAGAGAAAAGTAGGAAAAATGATCTCAAAAAGCAAAACATCCTACGATCTAAAGAAACGGATGAGAAACAAAGTCATCGACATTGATCAGTCTGTGTTACAAAGCAATTTTAAAGCTTTGGGACTCAAGCAAACCATTGTGAGAATCATTATCCACAAATTGAAAATTTGGAACAGTAGTGAACCTGAATTCTGCGTTTAAAAACAACATTTTGTATTTTCTTTTCCTAAAATTAAACTTAGCTTTGATGTAAAGCATGTAAGTGTACCAAGTTTGCAAAAAGCTAAGAAGTCAGGAAGGGGGCGAATACTTTTTCACAGCACTATATGTGTAAAACTCTGACTAGAATACTCTGGTTTTCTGGATGTCTGCTTTCACCCACAGCTGGCAAACTACAGCACTTCTATCAAGACTCCGATGTGGCTGGGCAAAGTAACAGAGAAACTCCAGCAGAAACAGTATCAAACTGTCGGCGAGTTTGTTTCTGATGTACAGCTTATTTTTGCCAACTGTGCGACATTCAACCGGGTAAGAAACTCTTAGTGAAAGTGTGATAATGGCATTCAGCGCTCTCAATAGTCTATTAAGCGCTTGTTTTTATTTTTTATATGGTTTTAAAAGGTTTGCATCTGCATGTAAAAAAGAAGAATTAGATTACATTCACTGAAAGTTTTGGAAACTTCAATTACACCTTATAGTGACAAAAAATGTGATTCTGTATCTCTTTTGGGACTTGGGACTCCGTGTGTTGTGTTGTCAAATGTTTTCAGGACTTTAAGCTTTCACTTTCTTCTGACTGCCATTCAAAGTTTAGTCAAATTGCCTTGTTCAGCTTTTACAAGGCATAATCAAAACAACTACCATCTATTTCACCTTTGCTTCCATGCAGTGCTTCTTCTGCATTTGGGTCCCTGGGGGTCCTGGTCTGACCAGTTTCATGGGTACCTGCAATTTCACAGTGGATCTCAAATAGAAAACTTTTGTCTTACTGTCTTTTATTCTCAGTTCTGCTGGAGGTCTCTTCCTGTTAAAAGGGAGTTCTTCCTTCCCACCACCGCCAAGTGTTTGCTCATTGTTTTTTTTCCCCCTCAATTACTGTAGGTTCTTAAAAGTGCATTGACACATCTGTTGGATTACAAACACAACTTTTTTAAACAGAATAGAAGTTTTGAAAATAACATAATGACAATCGCTGTTTTTCTTTTTCAGGGAAATCCAGAAATCCTTGCCATCGGCAACCAACTGAGGGAGTTATTTGACAGCGAGTTTAAGAAGGCTTTCAACATCCAAGATCAGTGACTTCGAACCAGTGTGACAGTTTTTAACACTTCAAAGCTGAGAAAACAATCAAAAACGGGTGTTACAGCGATGGCACTGTAGCAAAATGTAACTAGATATCAGTGTTTGCACACAACACAGTATGAATGTCAAATACAGTATACTCTGTGTTCATGTGCTGGCAACTAATGGAAAAGCTATTATTGGATAATCCTTATCATAGTACAACCCATTACAGTATAATATTAAATAAAGTAGTTCCATAGTGTATGTTGTTTACATACAAAATGCACACTGAAAACAAAGACAAATGTCTAAAGGGGAATTGTAATAATGTTTTCCTCCAGTTTTGTGCACTGAAACCAAAAACAGCTCTAGTCCTATTTAAAAGTCAAGTTAAAATGATCATTATATATATGTATATATTGCTCCCAGTTTCATTTGTTTGCCCTAACTTTGTTTCACATATAACTGATGTTATATACCATTAAAATCTGAATGTGTTGGTCCAAAGAGGACTATTGTCACTACAGTTCAATTTATTTTTACTGTTATCTGTAACATGTGGGGGTTTTTTTTTTAAATAAAATGTTTGTTTGTGTACGCCACAAATAACACATAAAAGAATAAAATGCATTTTTTCTTTTACCTCGTTTAGTATTATTTATTTTAATTTATTAATATTTATTATTATTAATGCAATAAAACGTGCAGAATTTGCCCCTACGTTGGCACGTTGACAGCTAAATCCGGATTCTTTTTTCTTATTTTGAAAATTATTTTTTGGTTTTTTGTTACTAAACATGTGCCAAACGTGCGGTCAGCTGACGTCACCATCACGGTTGCCAGCAGCAAATCCTTGCTGAGAGCTGCGCAGCCGCTCTGCGCATCCGTCGGCTGAGCTGAGGTGGTCAGCGCAGCCATTTCCGTGCCCCTCACGGAAAAACATGCAGGGGGTGGCATTTGTCCATCACGCGCACAGCTAAATCAGTCATGACTTTGGCTGCACGACTTCACGCTGAAGTCTGCATCATCGATTAACAGCCGAGATCTCCAAACTTTCTCCTCAATTCAACGCCTGCGCAGACAATACAAGCTCTCTCCCTTCAGCTCCTGCTCCTTTTCCCTTTTTTTCTGTTTCTGTGTCAGCCATGGAGGGAGATCTGCAAGGAGGCAGCAACCACGTCGCAGCGCTGCATGTGAAAACTGAAGCGGTGGATGAAAATGCATCTGCGCTGCTTTTGGGCAGGCAGGAGTCGCCTGCGCCCTGCGGAGATACCGCATGCAGAGGAGGAGGAGGGGAACAGACTGCAGAGGAGCTGGCTGACACAGAGCTGCAAGCTGCCACGACAACTACTCCTGTACTACTGTGTGAGTGCTCACCTGAGATGATTTATGGCCATTCGGCCTCGTTTATTTGCTTCCTTTTTTGTTTTGTTTTCTTAATGGCCACTCAGAATCTGTTGCTTTTCAGTAGATTATGTAGCTTTTATCTGCTCTGTCATCAGACCCTGTTAGCACAGAGCGGTTCTTCACCACATCTGGGGATGGAAAAACATACCTGAAGATAGCTCCAGGTAAGTAAGATTCAAAGTGAGAGGAGAGCACCAGCAAGAATGTAATAAAACACATAACCTGACTGACCGAAGTCTTTCTGGCAGAAGTAATAACTGGCAACACTTGCGTACATTAACCTCTTTTAATAATTCATATAAAATGATGATATGATGTATCCGCACATATACACATTAAATCTCATGACTGTTAAAAGGAATTTGAATAACCTAAAAATTCAAACATGTCATTTTTTAATCATTTGCATAGAAATGCTATTACACAGGGTGCATCGAAAAGAAAAAAGCTATACTTTTATGCAAGTAATGGCTGAATATAAACTTACAGTGTGCACAAGTGCTCAATAAGTCCCCCCATGGATACACAGCATATGTCAAACTCATCCCATGAGCATGTCTGGAGTCACTGCAGCCACTACGTGTTTCTTTAGGTGAATGATTGTGGAATTAAAGCATTTTGAAATTGGATGCTGGTCTGGAGGTGGGCATATTAAGCACTTGTCAACATTGTAAATTTTGTGTATATAACTTTACATTTGCATTTTAAAATTTACTGAAAGCTTCTATGTCTAATAGTTAAAAAAAACATATAGCCTTCTGAAATCAGATGATTCTTTTTGACACACCATGTATTTTGTGCCTATTTCATGCACCTGAAAAAGTCCACAAAAACTAGGGTTCAAGTCTTAGCCATTCAGTTCTTATCCTTCACAATTAATAAACTTTCTGCATCACTGGGATTGTGTGTGTTTTGATCAGATTTGATGGGCATTTGTTGGGGTGTTTGATAGCTCATCAAATGTTGCTAAATTCTGACTCTGGGTGTTGAAACTAACCCCCGCACACGTCAAACCAACGACAAGAGGGAAAACAGAAATGTTGAAAATCTCTCATTAGGAATTAAAGATGCAGAAAATGCAGTTTTTCTGTATCTGCAAATACAGTTGTGGTCATAGGTTTATATGGGCTCAAAATGTGGTCATAAATATTTTGTACTTGTAAAAAAGATTTGTATGTGTAAAAAAGATTTGTGTGTGCGTAAAAAAGATTTGTATGTGTAAAAAAGATTTGTGTGTGCGTAAAAAAGATTTGTATGTGTAAAAAAGATTTGTGTGTGCGTAAAAAAGATTTGTGTGTGGACTTAGAAAAAAAACCCTGCAAGTTACAAGTACGGATTTTGACCCTATTTTTCTTCCTTTCATCTGATTGGTCAATGTCATGTCAATCACAAATGTAACAATCCAATCAGAGAACAGATGGGTTTGGCTGTCGAGGGGCGCTTTTTTGAACTGCAGGTCCTTGAAGGGTGATACAGTTTGAAGCTGGAGGATCGCTATATAAATATCCGATAGCAGCTAGGTCCCCTAACTTTCAGTAGCTGTTGAAAGGAAAAAGTTGTGGTATATCAGTGGTTAGAAATACCATTATTACTTTAGGATTAGTTTAACACAAAGTCAGGGCTGACCCAGGACCATTGCTGTGAGTCACAGTGCGCAGCATAAAAGTCCTTTCACATCGGACGCAGGATGTGCTGCTAATGCTAACTGCTAACTAAAAGCAAAGGATCCAGAATTTGTTACGCTGGCTGCTGGGCTCTGTGGGTTTTTGCAGCAGCTCTACCTGTACTAGATGCACCTGCTCCTTGTCTTTTCTATCTCTGACTTTATGTCCTCTACAAGAGTTTGTTTTTTTTGCTGGTTCTTCAAATGTTCAATAAAAACATGTATGCTAATTCATAACGAAGAAAGCTTTGTAATGAAGACTGTCATTTCCAAAACACTGCCCGCCCCCACCCCGCGGTCCGCAGCGCTGTTGAAAAGGCTGTGGAAGTCCCTGTATTAAACACGTAGACCTGTGACACAAAAATCACCAAACTCGGACGACCACAGACTGTTTTCCTTCGTGGTGATGAAGGAAAACGCTGGGTTGGCATGTAAAAGGGCATTTATTCCCTTCAAAGACCTGCAGTTCAAAAAAAGCGCCCCTCGACAGCCAAACCCATCTGTTCTCTGATTGGATTGTTACATTTGTGATTGACATGACATTGACCAATCAGATGAAAGGAAGAAAAATAGGGTCAAAATCCGTACTTGTAACTTGCAGGGTTTTTTTTCTAAGTCCACACACAAATCTTTTTTACGCACACACAAATCTTTTTTACACATACAAATCTTTTTTACACACACAAATCTTTTTTACACATACAAATCTTTTTTACGCACACACAAATCTTTACACACAAATCTTTTTTACGCACACACAAATCTTTTTTACACAACAAATCTTTTTTACGCACACACAAATCTTTTTTCACACACAAATCTTTTTTACGCACACACAAATCTTTTTTACAAGTACAAAATATTTATGACCACATTTTGAGCCCATAGGTTTACATCCACTCATCAACCTACACAGGATCAAACATTACATATGGGCTCAAATATTTACACACACCCCCACTAATGTCTCTTTGCAACTTGCACCTCGACCAGCCATCAACAAGTTTCTGACATAATCCTGGCTGGATATTTGACCAGTCTTCTTTACATAATTGGTAGAATTCATTTAAATCTGTTGGTTTTGTGGCACAGACTCAGCTTCTAAGTGTTGTCCACAGATGTTCAGCAGGGTTGAGGTCGGGGCCTTGGGAAGGTCATCCCAGAAGCTTAATGTTTGTCTACTGTATCTATTCCAAAACCAGTTTATCTGTGTGCCTGGGATCATTGTCCAGTTGGAACATCCAACTGGGTCCAAGTTTCAACTGTATGTTCAAACTTGGACAGAACTAGAGATTCTATTTTCAGGTTTTACCTCAAATCCTGATTTACCCCTGGTAGCAAAACAGCCCCAGAGTCAGAATCTACCAGCACTATGCTTGACAGCTAGCACAGGGCTCTTAGATTTCAAAGCCTCACCTTTACTCTTCCAAACATACCTGATTGTGGCTCAATCTTTGTCTCGTCTGGCAACGAAGCTTTTCTCCAGAAGACATTTGGATTGTCCATGTGGGCAGCTGCAAATTTCAGATAAGCTTGAAGGTGCGGATTTTTGACCAGATGCTTTTATCTTGGTCGGCACCCTCTCAGTCCATGGCAATGTAAAACTCGTTTCACTGTGGACAGTGATGCCGGTGTGTGAGCACTGGTTGTTCCTGGATTGTTCCTAAACATCCTGACCACTTTTCTCTCATTTGAGGTTGACAGTTTGGGTCTTTTTCCAGACCTTAGCAAAGTGCTGACACATCCAAATAACTCACACTTATGTACAGTATTTGGCATCTGTACATAAGTGTCTTGTATTGTTCAAACCTGTGAGTGCTATCAAACAAATCCTTTTCATGACGGCAAAGGGAAACTACCAGTTATAGTCAATCACTAATAGCTTTCTCAAGTTTAAAGGCTTTATAGAATTTCCACTTATTAAAAGAATTAATTGAGTATATTTATATATTTGCACCTGTATGTTTACTACTGACTGTGTGTTTTAGATGTTTTAGATAAAATCCAAAATAAATTCAAACTTGTGCAGTAAGTCTACCCTGGAAAAGCAGTTCAAAGAAATCATTAAAATTCCAGAATTACCAGGATATTCCCGCCCATGATGAGTGGATCGAAACGTTTGATAACAACTGTATGTATATAAGATTTTCCCCAGTTTAACCCATTTATCTTATATATGAAGTGACACCACAAGTGGCTTTCTTTCTCTCCCAGCTTCAGTAATGCCCCCTGCTCCTTCCGAGAAGACGCTTTGCTCTGGCTCGGATTTCTCTTCCAAAGCCGTTTTGTGTCTGATTGAGGCCGTCGGGCGTCGCTGGGGTCTCTATGAGACTCGGGAACGCTCGCAGCTCTTCCAGAGTGTCCAAGAGGAGATGGCCTCCAAGGGGCACATACTGCCTGTTGAGAAAATCCGTCGCAAGTGGAACAACCTCATTGTGACATACAAGAGGGTTAAAGACCGCAGCCGGGAGACGGGACATGCTAAGACGTCTTGGGAGTTCTTTGATGTGAGTCTAACGGGAAGACAAACCTGGGGATAAAAAATAGTTGCTGACATTAAGTACTGGTTTAAGTAAACCTCACAGCTGGACATAGTTGCTATGAAATTTTTTAGCCCTCTTTCTTTTCTCCTTTTCCTTTTTCAAGTGCTTTAGCATAGTCTGCCTTTGTACACTACACAGTCTACTATAGAGTGAGATGCTTGAAATTTCCAGTTGTAGAAATGTGAATTTCCCCTCAGGACAAATGTAACTGACCTCAAACGCAGCCACCAATAATCATTATCCAGTCAGAGTTTAACAGCTGCACTCTGCATCTGTGGATAATGTGTGTGTGTGTGTGTGTGTGTGTGTGTGTGTGTGTGTGTGTGTGTGTGTGTGTGTGTGTGTGTGTGTGTGTGTTTTTATATATACCGTATATATAAAAATTGTGCAGAAAGAAGAAACTGCTGCTTTATATATTTTGGAAGGTGTGGTCGATGTAGAGTACAGGCCTAGTCTATCTTACAAAATTCAAAACTCAGGGTTACTGGCTAGAAATCAGAAGCATTCTTCTGCTGTTGGCGATATACCACCAGCTATAACATTATAACCACTTGCCTAATATTATGTTTTTCCCCTTTTGCTGCCAAAACATCCCTGACCCATCGAAGCATGGGCTCCACTAGACCTCTCAGACCAGGGCACCTTCTGGTCTGTGGCCACGCAGCCCCATATGCAACACACTGTGATGCACTGTGTATTCTGACACCTTTCTATCAGAATTAGTATTAACTTTTTTTTGCAATTGGAGCTACAGTAGCTCATCTGTTGGATCAGACCACATGGGCCCAGCTTTCGTTCCCGGCCTGATCAGTGCCCCTTGGCTGCCCATGACCCTCTCACCCCCAAATCCTTACTCTTGCGCATTTGAAAAACTGTATCACACAGAGTGGTTCTGAATTTATACAGTTTTTAATACCATAAGAGAACTGAGTCAATATAGAGATGGAAAGACTTTAAGGGTTAAATGATGAATGGTTATTGTACAGGGATGTTTAATCTGAACAACTGTGAGGAAGTACAGCAGAAATAACTAGGATTATAACATAAAGTAACAAGGTTTAAGACAGCATACGGTTACATTGTTAACTGGTATTTGTAAGACATGGATTACAATGCTGTTTGATGTATTCATTGGTGTACTTTCTCCATATCTTTGTGTGTGTCTTGTTCCACTCTAGTTGATGGACGCCACCCTCTGCGACACCATTGGCACTCAGATCGTGAACAACAAACGAAACAAAGGCGGCAGCACGGTTTCTACACTGCCTGCTCCTTTGGCTAAGATCGCTGCAAAGCCCCTGCAGCTTCCAAAGCCGACGTCCACCATCATCCGTCCTAGCAGTGACTTTGCTGCTGGTGCTGGTGGTGGTGGTGGTGGTGTGGACTCAGTAGGTCTGGGCTCCAGTGCTGGCAGCGCTGCCAGTACGTCGGTGACTGCAGCGACCATTAGCTCAGCTAATGCCCCAGACCTCAAGCCCCTGATCGTCCTCAATGGTGACATTGTTACTACTAGTATTCACCCAGCCACCATTGTGCCTGCTCCTTCTTTTATCACCTCGCCTTGTTATACAGAAACAGCCACCACATCCCCTTCCCTCATCTCCGCCAGTAACACAGACCTCAACACACTGGGCTACACGAGCCGCAAAGCTCCATCCATCTCATCAGGTGTCATCCCTTTTCGCCTGAGTACAACATCGCTCACCCAAAGCCAGAATCTCCTCGGCCTCTCCTCTTCATTCCCCCTCACGTCCTCCTGCCTCACTTCCTCTGCTGCCACCTCTTTGTCAACATCAACTGTGTCTGGAACTGAAGGACAGAACCAGAAGGCGAAAGCGGAGCAAGGCGGCTCCACTCTGTTCCAGGAGATTCTGAAGCGACAGGAGGAGCAGGCCTACCTCGATCGAGTGGCTCGCCGCAGGGTTGAAGCCAGAGAGAAGAGGCGCGAGAGGAGGGAGGTGCGAATGTCCGAGTCCCTAGGAAGGATAGCCACGGCCCTGGAGCTGCTCTCCTCCAAACAGGACACAGTCATCGCCCTCCTACAGAGGCTGGCTGATCGGAAATAATCTACAGTGAAAGCCTGGAAAGTAGAATCTCCTGACCTTGTTTTTCCCCCACCTGAGATCCTCCTTATGAAGCTCTCATGCACTATAACGCTACTTTAATGAGCATAGTTTAATATAAATGTGAATTTGACGAACTCTTAACTAAATAACAGACAAGCGCGAAGGTGAGTCATTGTTCCGTGCTTTTAAATTGTTGTGCTTTGTAAATATGTTAGTTTGCTTCACTGACATCAAATAAAAAGATTCTTTGGATATGCACCTTAAAGCTGTGGTCATTTGAACACTTTGTCCCCAGATTGCAAGAATAAAACACTGATTAACTACTAAAAAGTTGCAATAAACTTTCATGCAATCAAATCAACCATTAAATTATTATCAAGGCTAAGAAAATCCCCCAAAATTTATTTAATAAAGAATCTTTAATCACAAAAAGGTTTTATCTTCATGAATGAATAAATGACTGAGAGCCAGGCTTTGGATTATTTTGGATAATGAGTATAATGTTCATATAAGTATTACTGTTAAAACTACAATATTTCATTGAAATGTAGCTGAAAAATGAACCATTTACTTGATGTTCTCTCAAAATACTACATAGGTCCAGTGTTTGAGTAAGTGTAGCTGATTAATTTTCATTGCTGAATGTAAATACTCTCATTTTAAAATATTATCATTTTACATTTTGTCAATCCAGGGTGAATTTATCGAAGCTTTATCCCTGATCAGGACGTTTTATGAAGCATTAAAGTATACTGACCACTAGATGGCGCGCTGAGACCGTTCATTGTATTGCTTCTCAAACTTTTAAAGCGCAATTGTCTTAACACACTTTAGGCGGTTCGTGTGTTAACACACGTGTGTTTTAGTGATATAAAAATCGCAGTATCCTTAAATGTAATAGTTTAATTGTTTCCTCGTTGCATTGCTTGTCAGTCTCACTATAAAATACCAACGAATCAAAGTCTACTTCTCAGTCAAAATGAAAGTAATGATATTCTATTTGAAATCATAACTTTATTCCACATTAAGCTGTTATGCAAGAAATCATCAACCCCTTACACCATAAAGGTGTGTCCCATCCAGTGACTCTCTATAAGATGCAGGTAGAATGCCAAGTTCAGAGGTTTATTTAAAACATTTGAAATAGTCTTGGCTCGAAACAGGTAGAAAAAATAATAATGTCCTGCAGAGCGGCCGATTTTCGCTGCTGACCTAATTATTCAGCGTATGTGGACTTGACTGTAACTTGGTGGATGCGGTATTCTCGTAGCGCAGCCAGTATGTGACTTGGCTGTAGAGCCCCACCCTCAGTTTAAAACAGAAAGCACCGAGGAAGTTGTGATGAAAGAAGCTTCACCTAACAGACTTTGAGTTTTGAATTTTGGTGATACTTCTGTCTTCGTCCACCATGAGCACTCAGGCCGCTGATAGCATACCTGGTCCAGCAGAAAGTGAGCAGGAGCAGGGTCAGTATGAAATATGGAAATGCTGTTGAGTTAAAAGTTTTTAGTTTAATGCTTTTCTGTTTAGTTTTTTTGCCCCTGTGGGTGTCGTTGGACGACGTTTCCTTCTTACTGTCACAGCGTGCTCTTAATCTCGTGTCTTCCTTTGTTCAACTGACACGTGTAGAAAGAAAAAGAGAGCAGTGTGCGTCATAGTGGTGCCTTAGCTGAGCTGTTGGCTACTGCAGTTTATCGGGCTTATTTCAGATGTTTGAAGATTGAAGCCATTCTCTAAAATATAAGCTAATGTGGGGAAACAAAACCACAGAACTTTTATAATGTTTTTTACAGTACTTTCATAAAAAAAAAAAAAAAACAAGATGGCAGTGACTATTTTTATCTACCTTCTTCCTGTAAGTGTGTGTGTGTGTGTTTAACTAACACACAAACACTGAGTTAGCAAACAATGATTTTGAGAAGTGCACTTTTAGCCTCTAATGTTGATGTAATGTTCATTTAATGTCTGCATCTCGTTTCTTGTGCTCCTTATTCCCACTTGTCTGCTCTTAAGAGTCTTTGTATCTTTATAATAAAGGATTCTCTTTACTTTTGTCTGTGTTGTCTGCCGCTGTGTCCTGCTTTTACTGCTTTTACCTCTTCTCATCTCACTCTACATCACAGCTAAACCAATCACTGATTGCAAATCTAACTGTACATTTCCAAGGGTGGAATGATTGTACATCTTTAATGACCTAAAAACAAACAAAGAGTTAGGTGTACAAGTCTGATTTTCTTTGGGATTTTCTCCAATCCACACAGGGTGAAAAGTGTACATATCTTTGGAACAAAGGCGTCTTTTTACTTTTGTCTGCTTTGCCTGCATCTGCATTCTGCTTATATACCTAAATATTTGACCCTGTGTGAAAAGGATACATAGAAACTGAAATATATACTTACACTCTCAGTGATATTTGGTTAAATGACTCTGAGCAAGTTGCACCTCAATCAGAGACTTTCAGTCGCCAACAACAAGACTGTGCTTAAAACCCGGTTCTTTGCCAACAAACCAAATAAATTTAATAACCAGCTCTGAAAAGAAGAGCGGTCAAACATTCAGCCGGAATACTTATTGATACTTGTTGGTGACTACCAAAAGTTTCTGGTTGAGGTGCAACTTGTTAAGAAAAGATTAGCAGGCATGTACCTTTATATTTGACCCTGTATGTAAACTTTTGACCCTGTGCAGATTCAAGAAAATCCAAAAGAAATTCAACTTTGAATATGCATGCTGTACAATCATTTCACCTTGGAGAAAGAACAATTAAAAAAACAGTTAAATGCCCCCAAATTACCATGATATTCATGCCCACGATGAGTGAATATAAACTTCTAATCACAGCTGTAAATAAGAGTTCTCTTTATGCCTTTTATATGAGAGGATAGGGCATGAACGTACAGCTGGTTGTTATATATAACTAAAAATTTTCAAGCTCTCACATTTTGCAACATATTTACCTTGATAGTTTTAGGTCACTTTTTGAGTCTCTTTTCTATTCTCTAAATGAACTTTGACTTTTGCCTTACACATCTCAGCTTGGCCACCTGGAGCCTGTTGTCTCTTGGATCTCTGCTCAGTAGCGAATCTGTTGCCAAAAAGCTACCAAGTTATGGAAAATAACCAGAATAATATCAGTATAACATGACTGAAATTAGTAGTTAAATTTCGTAATAGCAATTTCTGCAGTAAAAGAATCATTAATGCCTGGATCATTTTGGTTAATCATACAAAATTCTACTTTTTGAAAACATAAGATAAGAAAAAACATTTCAACAGGCATATAAAAACACAACAAACCACAAATGGTAACATGAGACAACATACAGTGTATTAATCTTTAATTTTTATTTTATTCATCAACAAATGGCAAAATGCTTTGCATTTGCCACAATGGAAGAACATAATAAAAAAGTTCATACTGTTTGTGCCCTGGGATGCAACAGTCTGGGCTAATATGTGAAAGCCACGAATTTCTACAAATAAACAATAATAATATCAGAAGTCAGAATGAAGGGCACAACAACTTTCATGAACTCTGAATAGTGTTTAAAAATGCTTTTTGTTGGGTTGACAGAGCCGTTGAGGATCATGCTTCTTGGAAAATGTGGTGTAGGCAAGAGCTCGAGTGGGAACACCATCCTCAATAAAATGGTGTTCTGTTCAGAGATGAAGCTGGTCGGCATCACTGTTCACTGTGAAAAAGAGTCCGCGGTGGTTGGAGATGTACCTGTCCATGTGATTGACACACCTGGGCTTTTCGAGAAGGGAAGCAACAAGGAGGACATCATCCGAGAGATTCTTCAACGCCTGAAACTCCAGGAACCAGGGCCGCACGTCTTTGCATATGTTATTCCTTTAGGAAGGCTGACTCAGGAAGACCAAGACACCCACACGCTGATTGAAGCAAAGTTTGGCCCAAGAGTGTGGGACTACACCATCGTGCTGTTCACCCACGGGGATCGCCTGGAAGACAAAACAATAAACAACATCATTACTGAGAGTGACGAGAACCTCCGCAACTTCATACGCAAGTGTAGCGGTGGCTTCCACGTCTTCAACAACAAAACCCCGGAGGACCAGAAGCAGGTCACAACTTTTATGGAGAAGATCGAGACCCTGGTGGCCCTGAATGGAGGTAGTTACTACAATACAGAGCTGTATCCTGAGAAGGAGAGGGAAATCAGAAAAAGACAGGAAAGCATCCTTGCAGAGAGAGATGAAGAAATCAGCAAAAAGGAGGGAAATCTGAGGGAGCATTACAAGGGTGAAGAGCTAAAGAAGATGAAGACAAATCTGTGGAGAAAAGAGGAGGAAAGGGCAAGAAAAGATGCAGAGGGGGAGTTGTACAGCATGTCCTACCTCATGAAGAGCATCCTGTTACTGGCTGTATTGTGTCTACTGTTATGTTGCAATCTTGGGGTAGCAGCTAAATGCCTTTGTGTTATAGGAATCATTTTGATTGTGGTGTCTTTTACAATTTTTCCAATTATTCCAGGAAAAATTCCAGGTCTTTCTAAGAAAAAGAAATAGATGAGCTTTTACTGTGTTAGTGATTTATCATTCAAATGTGTGACAGATGATATATCGAACTGATTTAATTAACAAAAATAATTTTCATACATATTTGTCTGTCCATAGTTAGAAAATATAGTCATCTGATATCATCTCATTGATCTCATATTTAATCAGATAACAGAACTGTAAAAATGCTAATGAAAACAATATTTAAAGTACTACACAAAAGTCTCGGCCCACCACTTTTTCTTTATATTTTACTAGGAAAAAAAGTAAATGCAAGGATATGCGGACATATACATGGAAATACAATACAGAGTTTTAAAATCAATATTTGGTACGACCACTTTTTTTCTTCGACACAGTCTGAACTCTCTTATGCAGCTTTGTTCTCATTTCTTTAAGTAGTCTTCAGGAATAGTTCTGCAGGCTTCTTGAAGAATGTTTAAAGCTGTCTTTGGATGGTGACCGCTTTTTGTTCTGCTCTTTGTGAGGATGATCTCACACTGCTTTAACAATGTTGAGGTCCAGACTCTAGGGAGGTGAGTCCATGACTGATAGTGTTTTATTGGGCTTTTCTATCCGGGTATGCTTTTTCTGGCTATACTTTTATTCAAGTAATGGCTAAATATAAACTTACAGTGTGCACAAGTGCTCAATAAGTCCCCCCGTGGATACACAGCATATGTCAAACTCATCCCATGAGCATGTCTGGAGTCACTGCAGCCACTACGTGTTTCTTTAGGTGAATGATTGTGGAATTAAAGCATTTTGAAATTGGATGCTGGTCTGGAGGTGGGCATATTAAGCACTTGTCAACATTGTAAATTTTGTGTATATAACTTTACATTTGCATTTTAAAATTTACTGAAAGCTTCTATGTCTAATAGTTAAAAAAAACATATAGCCTTCTGAAATCAGATGATTCTTTTTGACACACCATGTATTTTGTGCCTATTTCATGCACCTGAAAAAGTCCACAAAAACTAGGGTTCAAGTCTTAGCCATTCAGTTCTTATCCTTCACAATTAATAAACTTTCTGCATCACTGGGATTGTGTGTGTTTTGATCAGATTTGATGG